ATTCGGCGCAAATATCCATCGATCTCCTACTGGCGGCAGCTGCTTTAAGTCACCAAACACGATAATTGGTATGCCTCCAAAGTAAGCGGTGCTCCTGAAAATTTGCTTTAGCCTGCAATCTAAATATGCAAACATCTTTGCTCCAACCATTGAAATTTCGTCAATTATAATAAGCCTAATATCTATGAGATTGGCATGAATTGTGTTTAATGTGTCACTATTTAGTGACCGAAGATCGCCGGAAGACTGGTTGACGGGGAGTGAAAAAACCAAATGAAGGGTTAGGCCCCCAATTCCAAATGCTGCTTTGCCAGTGAGTGCGCAGAGTAACAGCCGACTCTTGCCCACTCCAGCATCGCCTCCGACATATTCGAAGAAGATTTCCCTTTTACTGACATTGTGCATTACATGAGCAAAATATTCCCTCTGTTTGCTGTTAAATGACTGCACCATTGCCAGTAAATGGTCTTCTAATATTAGAGGTGGGAGTTTAATTAATTGAACCGCCTCTTCCTCTGTATTGTTGTGCTCTTGAAAAACATTAATGTCTTCTGGTTGCTCTGGAACGGCTAGAGCTCTAAATTCGGGATCTAAAAGTTGTGAGGCAGCTCGATCATCAGCTGTTTCTTCCGCTGTGACATGAAGGTTTTCCAAAATCCGTTCTAGTTCGTTCGATGAAAATTTGTCATATTTGAGCTTATTCAGCTCAATTTGCAAGTACTCTCGATCATTACTTAATAAGTCTGTTTCCTCATTTCTCCATGGGTGAAACATCATGGCGGTTTCTCTGAAGAAATCGGCTCTTGAACTTTCAACGCTAAAACGTTTCCAACGCAGAATAAGGGCTTGCTTCCTTTTCCTTAGAAATCCTGATCCATCCTTTAATATTATAAGCTGCTTCTTGAGCTGATATTTCCGATCCATTTACAAATTTGTTTTCGATGTGCTGCAGTTTTCTTTTAATGGAGAAATTCCTGCATTTATTTCCTCCATGGCTTGTCTCAATTATGTTGTTATTATAGGCATTTAGAAGCCTGTCTGAAAATTTTCTCTTTAGGAAAATGTGTGGCTTTTTTACAGATGAGCGAAGAGCAAGCTTGTATCCTTCATAGTCAGTGTTGATTGATTTAGTGCCTCCAATATTTTTGCTGGTCGCACTGTCTCCGTCATAAAATTTTGTACCTACTCTTCTACCTAGGTTTTGTTTTGTACCTACCCATCAGTTAATTAGGCTTTTAAAACTGAATAATTATCTTTAGATAGTTCTCTATTATTATTAATAAATAATAATATATCTTGAATAATTAGGGATTTGTTTATTTTATGGTTAATTAAATACTATTTTTGCTCCTTACTCTTATGTATCTATTCTTAACACATTTTTTAACTTATTGTCCCAATTAGCTACATGTCACACCTTACTTTTGGCACAAGCAAAACAGTTTTTGGCAGATATAAGACAATTTTTATTGAAAGCTCAAATTGGACATTGGTTTATAATATATTATTTGTAAAGTGGTTAAATCTGACAACTGTATGCTATAGTGGTCCGATCTTAACAATTCGTTCGAAGATTGAAGTCACATCTTAAGCAATAATCCATAC